CATAACTGGACTAGAGGTGTTTAAATAATTGCAGATGATGTTACTCATGTTTTGTTGTAATCAAATGGCATGCTGTCAGACAAGAGTGCTGCAAGTTGGTACATACAGGGACTTAACAAAGCACACTTGAGAAAGATGCTGACATACTGTATATACTGCAGTGTCTAGTTTGTATGGTCCTCACAGGAAACGTACCCACACATATAATAGTGTCGGGACCATGGAGAGCACATTTAAACATCCTCCTCACTTTTCCCTTACTGTGGTTTGATTGGATATATTAGAATGATTGTATCAGAATAAATCAAACCACAGAAAAGCAAACCCTTCACACTTGTCAAAGATGCACATATGTTTGGGTCAAACTTTTTATGCTTGATAAAGTCAAACCTCATTTAAAACTTTGCATGTTTAACTAGAGTTTCTCTTTTTCTGTGTAGTAGTGGCCAGGGGGAATTACAAATCCTTTGGCAGTTCAAATCACGTGGGTGTGTTTAGAGGTTTGCTCTTAGTGTATGACTTGGGAAGGACATTAGTTGATATGATCCATCTGGGGCAAGGACTGATATAGGGGATTTATTGTATTGTAGAGTGCTGAGAAACATGGTGTTGCTTTATTCTGTGGGCTTAAAACTGGTCAGAGTTGAACTCTGATTGTCTGCTATATTTTACTGCCCTTTTCACCCCATTTCTGTACTACCTTATTAAAGCCCAATTGTGCACACCTTCTTTAACTCTTTATAGCAGTGTATCCCCCATGTTATACACCAATCTGTCATAACATCATCACCACTGAGAGGTGCAGTGAATAACATTGATTCTCGTGACAATGGCACCTGGAATTGGGTGTGATATATTACATATCTTAGTGAGCAAGTGAACTTTTTGCCCCTGTTGTTGATGTTGGAAGCAAAAAAAAAATAAATAGTCAAGCATAAGGATTTGAGTGACTTTGAAAATTATGATGGCTAGATGACTGGATCAGAGCAAATCCAAAACTGCAGCTCTGGTGGGATCTTCCCAGTCTGCAGTGGTTAGAACCTACCAAAAGTGGTCCAAGGAAGGAAAACTAGTGAACTAGTGACCGGGTCATGTGCAGCCAAGGCTCACATGGAGACCGAAGGCTGGCCCGTGTAGTCTGATCCAATAGAGGAGCTACTGTGGTTCAAGTTGCTGAAAAATGTAATTCTGGTTACAATAGAAAGGTGTCTGAACATGCAATGCATCACAGTTTGTTGCGTATGGGGCTAAGTAGTCGCAGACAGGTCAGGGTGCCCATGCTTACCCATGTCCACCGCAAAAATCACTTACAATGGGCACATGAGCATCAGAACTGGACCACGGAGCTATGGAAGAAGGTAGCTTGGCCCGATGAATCGCATTTTCTTTTACATCATTTGGATGGCCGGGTGCGCTTACCCAGGGAAGGGATTGCACCAGACTTGTATTGCAAAGAAGTGGTGTGTCTGAGCAGCTCTGCTACATTATAGAGCACTGTGGGTCTAAAGCTGGCCATAACCGGCTTGAATTCCAAGCCATTGCTGGCCCTGCCGGCCCCTCCAGGCTCAACAGACACCTAATGTGGTGGGCAGAAAATTGTCAGCCAAACAGTGACTGCAGTCCATCACAATATAATACAATGGCCACCAGTGGGAGATTCCACCATCCACGCTGTTTTCTCATTCCACGGGCTGGCCAGCTTTACTCTGGTGCCTATGAGACCGCACAATTATATGTAGACACACTAAACAACTGCTATAATAGGGAAATTAAGGTGAGACTATAAAATGGTGGTTGTTAGTGCTATTTGTTATAATCTATCTGACTGCAAATCTATTTCTGTGACTTCAGTTGCGCTTTAAGTAAGCCAATAGAGTGATTCCCTGATGATGAACGGATAAGACCTACTCAGTATGCTTTACTTATTTTTATAATGGTGCCTTAAGGCTCTAATCTTACATTATTGACTTTTCCTGTTGTAACTGTCTACATCCCACACGGGATGCCTGTTGTACATATACTGCTAGCCAGATGGTGCCTTTCATTTTCATCCTGAATCTGGTGGAATTGTATTTTTGGCAGCTTCTTCCTTTCAGTTCTGCTACTTCTTCTGCCTTTCCTCTAATTATTTAGCATTTTTACATGTCTGTTATGATCTCTTCTCCCTGTAATGTATTGTTTGTAATTAGTGAAACTTTCCTGAATCATTGAGGAAAATCAATTTGTACTGCTTACAATGAAAAATGCAATGTTTACCTCCCAAATTTCTTAGAAAGAGGAAAGAAATCCTTTCATGTCATTTTAGCACATATACCGACATCGTCAACAGCTACTATTAGTAAAAAGGGTATTGCACAATGCAAAAGGTCACCTAAATTGTAACCCCTAACAACGACCTTCTCTGATTTGCTCCCTGTTAGTTTGTTAAATATACCATTGAATGTTTTATTTTATCTGTCCAATAAGTGCAAACAATACATGTTGATCCTTTCAGAAATAGATTATAATTTATAAGATCATAAAGAGATTATATATCTTGTGCTCTCTGCCTGTGCTTGATGTTGTTAGTTAACATTGTTCCCAGAAATCTCTGTGGACTACAGAAAACCTCTCCCCTGTGTTATGGAGATGAGGAGAGGTGGAGTTGTTTTATAGTCATATAATCCTGTTTTACGGTGATAGTACTGTGGGTAACCAGATCACCTGATTTAGTGCTCTCATTTAACCGACATGTAGATTTTGCGATTAAAGTGACCCCTCCCTCCCGTTCAGCAGGGAGGCCCCCATTTTTGTGGTGAGCAGCTGAGTCAAAGCCAGCAGGCTTTAAAAAAGAACTCTGGGCATGTAAAAAATTAACCCTTGCAGGGGGGCTACCCCCACTGTGCATGGATTAAGTTCTCGTTTTGGTGTAGAGTCTACAATAAACAAGATGCACTCACCTGATCCTCGGTCCTGTGGTGGTTGTGACTCACCTCCCTCTCCTTCTGTGAAATGTCCCTCAGTGTCCTCATGTCCAATGCAAGTCAATGGATGTGATGACGCATGGATTCTTAGACTGCCGGAGCCTGAGGGAGAAGAGGCTTTGGGACCGGTCTCGAAGCCAGGAGGGACAGAGGATTAAGTGAGTATGTCCTCTTTATTTTAGACCCTAGACAAAATGAGTGCTTAATTAAAAACACACAGACCTTCTGGATGAATAGTGACTGCTAGACAGCATATTACCTCTATCTATCATTGTCCCTTAGATTTGCTGCTTCTTCAAACTAAAATCTCTTACCAGTGTCATGTGACTACATCACACATTATTACCATGAGTCTATTTTTAGCTAGGCTGTATCTTTTGAAGGATAAAGCAGGAATGCCAAATTACTTGACTTAAATATTAGTAATAATTAGGGATGCACCGATACCAGTACCGAGCATTTGGGTGAGTACTTGTACTCACCCAAATGCTCCTGATGCCTGAGGGAGCAATGAGCCGGCTTCCGGGGCAATCAGGAAGCCGGGCGGCGTGTACTGACTTGCAGCTCAGTTTCCTGATTGGTCGAGAAGCTGGACAATCAGGACGCTTCCGGTATCAATCAAGACTTCTGGTATCAGTATTCGGTATCGGAGAGTACCAGGAAAAAAATATCGCTACTTCTACTTGATGCCGAAAAACCGATATCGATGCATTCCTAGCAATAATGGTCGACTAACCTCATTAGGATGCAAGACACACAGATGTACAACACAGATTGAAAATACAGTAATTGTTTAGCAGACAATCATTGAATTTATTCATATTAATAAATGGCATTCTCAATGCAGACATATTGGTTTATTTGAGCTATATTTATAGTGGGGCCGCCTCCAAATTATGACTTGTAAATGTCTATAAATGAATTGAATTTCTTTTACTGGTTGTTCTTCAACAGGTTATTCTTTCTTATATTTCTGGAATGCACTTTTGGCATGCTCAAGTGCTCCAGTGTTGCATTGCTTTTTTAGCTGTGTTTGGCAAGTTCTTAAATCACTAATTAGCCAAATGACAGATTTACCCGGCCAAGCTATTCAGAGCCAAACAAATGTGATAATTTCTACAGACTTCTGTTACCATTGATTTTATTTGACAGCTGAGCTCAGATAACTATCATTTATTAGAGAGAGTTGTGAACCAGGTCCAAGAATTTCTGTCCCTAAAATGCTAGAATGTCTGTCTTCCATCCAGTTGAAAGAAGAACTGCCATTAAAAAGCAGAATATTGTGGAAAACTGTTAGCATCATTAAATATACTGTAACAGTTATTGGTTTTATTTCCTTTCTTGTTAATGGGTCATCAATTAAACAGAACAGAACTATGGGAGCTGCCATTACCAACCTTTTTAAAATTTGCATATACTGGGGTTGACAGCCTTACCTTTCTTCATGAGCTGCTTGTACCATGAAGTAATGAATTCTCAAAGATCCATAAAAATCACAACAGAGACTTAAAAGTTGTGTTTCTGTCGGTAAATCCTTCAGTGTGCACAGGCTGATTATGGGTTGACTTTAAAGGTGACACCTCTGGAGCCTGTATCTTACAGTGATATTAACAAACAAATTGTGTATCATGTGTCTTTAGTTTGGGATAGAAAGGGGGGAGGGTGGGGG